ATTTCCCCTATGGCATTTGCACATGTCCGTTCAGTGCTTGTATCTGGGTCATTTGCTAGGATAAACCCCATGTGACAAGCTCGATGGAGGTAAGGAAAAGTGGTCCATACCTGCTTCACCGAATTTTAATTTTAATTTACTGTTAAGAGATGTACTTATTCAAACAGCAAAATGAACCTTTTCCACATATTTGATTAAACAATCAAAACTTAGCTAGAAAATAAAATGTCACATAAAATATTTCATGAACTATGAACTGTACCCACTGGCCTTTGTTTTTAGTACATTATCAACTGGGAAGGAAATGAGAGTAAAATAACACTCTTGTACACATTACCTTCTTCCAATAAAGACCTGAAGAGACAACCTTGGACGCAAAGCAAACTTCTCCCTTATTTACTTTGATTTTATAGTAATTCTTTCTAAACATGCTTTTACTAAATACCAGACATGCCTTCAGTGGTTGAACATACTATAATGTTAAGATAACAAACCTAGATTGGTCCAAGGCAAGTTTATTAGAGAGAACTTTTCAGAGAGACGTTAGAGGGACTGATCATTTCACAAGCTATTCTTATACCAGGTCAAAAACCAAACTGATAACACTAAAAGACCAAGTAGAAAGTACAGTTGAATATCTTCAGGGAAAAAAAAAAAAAGGTTTTTCTAAAAAGCTTGTCAATACACCTTAAATCCTCTATTCCTTCATTTTAAATACTGTTAACCAAACTCTTTATAACATTAAGGAAAAAAAAAAACCCTTAAGAAGTGTTTCTACAAAACTGAGATTTACATTTACACCTAAATGAATAACTAAACTAGGGATGTGCTACTGAAAGTTTGGAATAAGTTTGATTTCAAGAGTAGAAATTCCTGCTGTGGAGTTGCTTCTCCAAGTTTCACAAAATTACTGCACACCAATAACTAAGGCACCTAAAGGTAATGTTAATGATCATGGGTGAGTTTAACAGTTGCAGAATGGGCAATAAGGAAAAAAAATTTCAAAGCAGCCACAAACGCATTTCCCACTTTCAAAAACTCAAATAGCCTTTTTTTTTTTTTTTTAACTAATGCATTACTTTACTCACATGAGACTAAAAAGATGTATTCGGTGCATTATGTCCTTACTTATCTATCACAAAGGGCGTGCCGTCAATTAGATGATATGTGCCAAATGAAATCACACTATGAAACAGCAGTTATAGTTTACTTTTGTTGCTTTGAAGTAAACTGACTCTTCTTTTAGTGCTATCTTTATGCAAAACATAGCAGGACTTCTAAAGAGGATGCAGGGAAAGTGATGCAATGTTATCCTCGACAAATATGGAAGAGAGCAGAGAATTCGGGGTCAGCAAGTTTTTCCCACTGACCTAACATCAAATTTCTCCAGAAAGGGAGACAGTCCTTCACAAAGTCACACGCAGCATGACTTCAACTTTGGCAAAGACTGCATATTTATAATTCCAATTTTACTCTAACCACAATTTAAGATTCAGTACAGTCTTTACTAGATTGAAGGCAAGGGGAGAGGGGAAGAAGCTGAAACTGTATATGCTTTTTCATCAGATATGATGAATTCTACTCTTCTACTGTTTGTTTCATCACATCAGAGCCATAGTCTTACATTTAGCACAGAAACACTTGTAAAATATTCAATTTTACCATAGGGAAATTGATTTTGCTAGAAGAAGGTTTCAGATTACCACTTAATCTCAACCAAGCTACATCAAACACTGAATATAATTACATATATAGTTTATAAAGTAAACCTGAGCACTACATTTAAAAGAAATGATAACTTGGAGAAGTACCACAGCAATAATGTTTAAGCTGAAGCAATAGAAAGCCCTCCTACAGTAAATGCCAGGTTCTTCAGCTAAAATGCAGAGTCTTGCTTTACTTAAGCAAGTCGAGCGTAAGAGCCACCTCCCTTCCTCGAACTGCCCTTTCACTCCCAGCACTGGCCCTCTCCTTGCAGAACCATATTTCACAAAAGTTCCTAGGGTGGGCGGGGGTGGGGGGTGGGGGTGAAGGGGAGTGGGCAGTGTTGCGGCAGAAGCCACAGATGTAGTTTAAACAAAGTTTTACACTTGAGTCTTTGTAGTATGAAATGGAGTGGTGGAAATAAACACATTATCATCGTCCTACAGTTTCCACTTGACTCCCCAGCTTTTTTCCCTGCTTCTCACACAAGCGAGTTAGAGCAGTGAGACAGAAACCTTGGCACTGAATCACCTGAACATGGTATGCAGACACCAAATATGTGCCATGCTCCTATTAATACATATTTCATAATTTCTAGGATTCATAAAAACCAAGTGTAGCACTTGTAAGATTTCATACTCTCGAGAGTACGTGATTGCATACGCAGTTCTGCTACCAAGAAAATTAGAGTAAAATACACTTTTCAAATTGTAACTAAGTATAATGTATATTTACAGGTCTTCAACATCATAATGGTATATATTGTCTATATGTCACACATTGCGCATGCTATCAGTTAGATGATACGGGCAAAGCATCACATTAAATTCATCTGTGCAGCTAGGTATAACTCAGGAATTTTGACGCTCCATTCAATCTGTAGCAGGTAAAGAACTTATAACCATTGCCAACTATCAAAGCACAACTAATTTACCATCACACTCACACCATTCTGCCGAGTTACAACACTAACACTTCTGACTGATTAAAGAACACAAAATAAGCATTAAGTCTACAGAGAAATGTACATGCAAATGTAGTTTAGTTCCAGCCTTAATCTTTATTAGGATAGTTTCTTCTGACATGTACTTTTTAAAGTACTGGACAGCAATAAAGAATAGCCACACCATGCTATTTGCTTGATTTAGCACAGTGTTCTACAATAGTTACAGTATGACAGTAAGTTACTTTTTTATATAAGTCCTAAATTATTGGTTTAAATGCTTACTCTTCAAACTGTCCCCAACAGTGCCAGTAACTGCCCAGATCTTCCCTGAGCTCGCTTTAGTGAAAAGTCACCCAACTTCGGAAGCAAGAGCTTTTCCTGCCAATATTCTAGAAATAGCAGGTGCAGAGTAACACAGAATTGGAGGGTACAGAAGCAGCTCACCTCACTCTTACACACAGACCATTTACTTCTCGAAGCACGTAGCAAAACTGCTGAAATGTGTACACTGCTTGAAAGTTGAGGAAAAGTTTATGTGTAACAGTGGCTTCCTATCAACTAGTCTCTGATAGACACTACATAAAATGCATTAAGAAGCGTTTGCTGGATGCTCTTGTACCTATTATCAGGGGATTTCATAACAGACATGTGGGTGTGAACCAAGATTCGCTGACTGAAGGCATACATCCATGAACATGCTTTTAGCTGGAGAGTGGGCACACAAGAGGATACAGAATATGGCTAAGCACCACCGGGAGAAAATTCTGCCTTCCTCTCCCCTCACTATCAACCACTTCACTTAAGTTCACTCACTGCCTCGCCCTGACCCTGAGGATCCATTCACTTTCCATAACCCAGAGAGGCTGCTGAAAAGCTGTCAAAGTAAATCTGTGCTCACTTTTTGGATGGTTTAACTTCAATGGAGCATGAAACACCCCAGGACGGTTAATAAGTTTAGCCAGGCGTGCTGTTCTCCCTAATATATTTTAATTATGCATCTGTTTTAATTGTAATCAGATTAAGTCACCGGAAAGGCACAAATTGCAATTTTCCCTAATGGCTATTAGACCTTTCCATCAGTTTCTAAACACTAACAACGTTTAAAAAATAGGTAGAGACACGAGCACAACTGTGACATTTCCCAGAAATCGATGCAGTTTCTTTGACAACACAGTTCAGGTCTCATTAGCAACCCAAACTAACCCAAACGCAGAAGACAACTTCAGTCTCTAGGGGCGTCTTCTTCCCCAATTAGCACAAAAGAATCGCTAACGTCTAAAGTAAAACTCCCAAACAGAAACGAAAACCCAGGCTTTTATAAAGTGCTACTCCATCGATCGGTGAGGGAGGCGGGGGAGCGGAAGAGATGAACAGCAGCATTATCCTGGGTCAAAGTAAAGTACACCATGGGTCAAAAGGGAAAGTTGAAATAGAATGCGATTTCTCCACTATTTTGGCAACTGTCAAACGCGTGTTTTAACCTCGGGAAATAAAAGTGTCCCATCAATAGAAGGAAACATTACAGGGAAGATCTATTAGGGGACGGGGAGCAGCTTCCTTCCAGTCCAGACGTAAAATCGCTCAATATGCTTTTGTTGCACCATGGAATACCTAAGATTATTTTTTAATACGTTCATTAAAGAGTTTCCCAAATTGCTGTGATTTCCGCTAAGAAACTTAAGCGTCTGCCAACAGCCTAGAAGCAAGGGAGAGGAACCTGCTGCAAACTAGGAACCCAAACTCCCTCAGCCCGCCCAGTGCGCCCGCGTCCCCGGCGTTTGCTTTAGGTGTTGATGTTTACGCGTCTCCTAAACCTTCAGGTGCTGGACCAGTCCCCCCAAGACGCACTTCGAACCTTAAAGCAGGAAGCTTCAGAGCTACCGCGGAGTCCCCAAGCAGCCCGCCACCCCTTCCTCTCACCCCCTTACCTGTCATCGTAGCAGAAATCCGCACTCAGGGTGTTGAGATACAAAGCGAGCCCTAGAGCGCTGCTCACCAACTCTGCAATCATCTCTCCACCGCCTTCCCTCCGGCTCGGCTACCAGCGCGAGGGCAACAGCGGCAACAAAAAACAGAAGCATCAATCCCCACCTTCCGCCGCTTTCTCCTCCCAGCTTCACTTTTCCCTCGTTTCCCCACCCTCCCTTCCTCCCTCGGGTCCTTCCAATCCACCGTTCTCCTCCTCCTCCTGGCGCCCGTCTCCGCAGCTCTTGCGTCCTCCCTGGGTGCGGGCTCACACCGCGCTCCCCATGCCCTGCGCCGACGAGCGGCGAGCGGCGTTCGGGCTCCGCGCCCCCCGGCGGATGCACAGGGCTAGTCCTTCGCGCGGCTCGCACCCCCACCCTAACCCATGGCAGTGCAGGGCGCCCTAGGTGAGGAGTGGGACTCGGAGGAGGTGGAAGAGTGCGGGGTGGGGACAGAGGGACCGGACCGAGCCGGGCTCTGAGACCAGCTGGAGGAAGAGAGAGAGAGAAGGGCGGGTGGGAGGGACAAGGCGAACCGCCTCCCCTCGCCGCCTCCCGGTCGCAGCGCTCCGGTGCCGCTCGGGCCGTCTCCGGCCGCCACAGCGGCTGCAGCTCATTCACTCTTTATTAGCTCCCCTCCCGGCCCCAGTCCCTTCTCCAATGAAGTGAGAAGCGGTGGCTGGAGACTCGAGAAGCTCCCGCGTGGGGTTCTCGGAGCTGCCCCCCGCGCCTGCGTGGCCAACCCTCCACCGGGTTTGCCCGGCCCCTTTCTCCACCCAGATCCGCCCCTAAAGTTCCGCCCACGCTACCCCCTGGGCTGAAGGCTCCTCCCACACTCCCCCCCGGCCGGAGGCTCCTCCTCCCCACCTCCCGCCCTCCCCTTGTTTCTTTCACCTTCGATTTCGCTCTGGGAAGCCCAGGGAATCCAGGGGCGACGGCTGGAAGACAGCCCAAAGAGGTAGCTGGAGTGCGCCCTGGGCGGGGCAGCTAGAGGAGGAACGAGACCGAGGAGGACGCAGTCGCTCGCCCCGCTCTTGCCTGGCGGCGCCTAGCACCGACTGGATCGTGTGCCAAGCGCTGCCAGGCGTAGGTCCGGTCAGCTGGAGAGACTTCTGGGCACCGGGAGAGGAAGAACAGGTTTGGCGAGTGCTGCAGACTTGGTTGACACAAACACACACGCGACCTGTCACACACCCTCACTGTGCGTGAACCGAAACGGTGCGGGGGGCAGGGGGGGCGTTGGAGAGCTTGAGGGGTGTCTTAGGAGGGAGAAATTTCAGCTCCGAGCCGACCGTTGTTCCGAATGTCAATGGAGAGACGTGTGGGGAGGGAAATATTCCCGCAGTCAGGTTAAAAAGAAAGGACCCCCGAAGAGGAAAGAAAGACTAGCGCACACACATTCATACCCCGCAGCAGCGGGAGCTTTTCGTGGTTTCAAGGGAACTGTCAGGCTGACCCCAAGAACACGGAGAAGAGACGCCTGTACAACCGAGTACAGCGCTACCCTTACACCTAGGAAGGCGGGAAGCTAATGCCCTTTCCTTTCCGCCCGGATGCAGGACTGGATGGAAGGCGTCCAACATGATGAAATATGGTGTAGAAGAATGGTCTGTGTAGAACGAGCTCTGGGTACTAAAGTTGCAAGACCAAAGAGGACCGTGGGCTGCCTGCCACATCTCCTCCCGGCTTGGCCCCTTTCTGGCTGGACGAGCGGCTCCCGGGACCGCGATGAACACTACTGCAGCGCCCCCTGCTGCATGGCAGCCACAATGCATGGAAAACAGACATGTAGAGGGCTGACTCCCCCCCCTTCCCCACCATACCTCGGCCATAGCTCCAAAGGCAGCACCTAACCAGCGAGCTCTCCAAAACGGCGGCAAGAAATTGAGCCCCCCGGATGTCTGGCAGTGGCCTGAAAAGCAAATACCGTGGTTTGGGTGTCTGCAAAACAAAGCAACATCTTTAAATGATGAATATTTATTATACCTGTTATGCCATGCACGAAGGGCCCATTTTTGTGCCCTGGGAAAAAACATAAGTAAACGCACATAAGAGGGAACTGTATCTTTAAAGGCAGGGACTGATCTTTTGCCTTTTTTTTTTAACCCCATAACCTCTGCTCACTGTCAAAAAGTTTTTAAAATCATATCAATTGGCCCATCAAGGTCCTCTGTGTCCCTCCACTGCACTTAACATGTTGATACTTGATCCTAGGACACTGGAAGAAGGGCACGCTCCTCTAGAATCAGATGCTTGAGTTTGTGTCCCCACTCTGCTGCTTACCATCTGGGTGACCTTTGGTCAGTCACCTAACCTCTTTGTGCCTCAGTTTTCTCACCTATAAAACAGTGATGATAATAATACCTATCTATGGGCACTATTATTATGAAGATGAAAGTAGTTAACATGTGTAAAGCACCTAGAAGCGTCCTAAATGCAATAGAAATGGTAGCTGTTATTTATTACTACTACTACTATTATTATTATTCTCTCCAACTTCCTCTTATCCTTTAGGTTGTCAACTAACACCTATATGTTTACCCCCAAAACATACTCCCATCACATCCACACTGCTCCAGTCCTAATCCAAGCTACCCATGTTCCCTACACGGACAAATGCAGAAGCTTTCTAAGTGCTCTCCTTACTTCTACTCCTGCAATTCTCACCCCTCGCCAGTCATAACGTCAGGTATTAGACGGAAGATTCTTTTGAAACCCTATGATCTCCCTGCTAAAAGAAACTGTTCAATGATTCCCTGTTATACATAAAATAAAACTCGAATCCTTACCACAGCTAGCCAGCCCTTCGTCTGGCCCAATGACTCTCGCCTGTCTCACTCTGCTCCTGTGCTCCAGCCACAGAGATGTCCTGCTCCTCCGGAATCTACACTTTTCTTCTCCCCCACGTGGAATGCCTTCTAGCCAGACCTTCTCCAGCTCCTTCTCAGCATTCAAGTCTTAGTTCAAAGGTCATCACAGGAAGGCTTTTCCAGCCCACACTTTAGGAAGTAGCCTCTCCCCCAGCAATCGCTATCCCATCAGGCTGCATTATTTTCTTCATAGTACACATTAGTATCTGGAATCGCCACCAGAATTGTGGTCCCAAGAGGCCAGGGACCTTATCAGTCTTGTTTTCCATGTAATGCCCAGCACCTATAAACATCTGGACAGGTAGAAGAAAAAAAAGTTCACAGTTAATGAACAAGTAAATGTGCTCAGCAGAAACTGTAGAACCACTGAAAATCCACGAACTTTCATCATGAGAGAATAGGGTAAACGGATTAACTGTCAATGTTAAAGATAGTAAAGTATTAACAAAGGAGCGAGGGAGGAAGTAGGTTAAAACTTCTTAAGAACACATTGACTCTTCAGGAAAGTGGAAGTGGTGTGAAGTCACAGGCGGCTCCCTTTAGTAATTAAGAGGAAGGGATCAGAGGCAAGAAAGCATGAGAGACACGTGGGTTCAGTCTGCTGAAAGCTTGTAAGCATTTTCCAGAGCTGTCTTCTTTCTCAAGGAGCCAACAGATTTAAAAAATATTTGCTACACTCCTCCCTCACCTCCTCCTTTTCTCTTCCCCCCCACCCCCCAACTCCTCTAAATTAGAAGCACAGGAGACTGAGAAATGCCACAAAGTGGCACGTCTTGCCACCCCTGATGAATGGAAGGCTGAAAATCCAGCTGTGTTTGAGAAATCCAGCTGCTTTTAACAAATTTTCCTACTATAATTTAACGTGGGTCTCAATATTCTTCCAGGGCATTAAGCCTTAGTCTCTTTCACACTGCTCTCCAAGGGCTGAGAAGCAGCCAATGCCTGCATTTTTGACCTTCCTTGAACAACTTTGGGGGGGAAATCAGATTAAAGATGTAAAGATGTCATCACTCTCCTTGCAGATTATTTCAAACCCGAGGACATTGCTATTTAATTTATTAAGGTATACTTACCCATTGTGAGATTCCTGCCTGGGTTTTGAAATATATATATATATGTATTTTAAAAATTAAAAAAAGATATATATATATACACACACACATATATATTCTATTTAAAGCTACTGTTTATCTCCACAGATGAAGGAAATTAGGCTGACTGAGTTGAGTTTTCTACCTTAGACACCAGACTGTCCAAAAAAGTGCTAAGCCTTTATTTTCCCCAAGTAGGTTCCACACATCTGCTACCTCACCACTTCCTCAGTGAATTATTTTTTATAGTTGCCCCGACCTACCCTGCATTTGTTCTGCATTTCCAGCCCTTTGTTGTACAATTCATACCTTTGCAGTGCCAGTTCCTTGGGGTAAAGATTTCCTTATTTGCCTAAGACATTTTTAGTTTATTGTGCAATACTATCTTCCCTTTGGGTGTTGCATAAATATTAACTAAAAATCCACATCTGGTCTTGGTCGGCATTTCTATTTGTCCTAATATAATTTCTCTTTGAACAATTCATTTGTAAAGTGTGCCAAGGGTGAAATGTGGCACATAAATTCTCCTGCTGCCTAGAATGCCTTTTAAAGTGCCCACAGATTTGGTTATTTATGAACAGAAGATTTGCACCTCTTCCTTGCTCTCTCAGTTCTAAAAATGTACCAGGCCAAAGTAATTACAATCTCCCATATGTTTTGTGAAAAGGTATCCAAGAATCTCCTGCTAAAATCTTAACAGATTGACTAGGAAGCAGAAAAGCACTAGCCCAGCAGGTAAAACTGCCTGTTTAGGGAGGTCAGGACAGAGCTCTCTGTTGGGGGACTCATAAGCTCTGGGCTTTACTCAGGAAATAACCCTGCAGGAGAAAAACAGCAGAGCGTGGATGAAATGTGGGTCAGGGAGCTGAAAGAGGCACCAGGGCTGCTTGGTTAACTAATGACAGTAAATGCATCGGCTACACATGTTACCTTTCGATGTTTCCCAACATACCTTAAAATGCTACCCTGTAGACATTACAAATGTAACATCGCTTTATCCCCAAACTTGTGATCCATAAGGAATATAATTACGACGATGCAACCATGGAAAGAGATCCTGTCGCCGCTGCCACAAACCCAGGGCTGTTAAGAACCAGCTGCTTGGGCTTCCCTGGTGGCACAGTGATTGAGAGTCCGCCTGCCGATGCAGGCGACACGGGTTCGTGCCCCCGTCCGGGAAGATCCCACATGCCGCGGAGCGGCTGGGCGCGTGAGCCATGGCCGCTGAGCCTGCGCGTCCGGAGCCTGTGCTCCGCAACGGGAGAGGCCACAACAGTGAGAGGCCCGCGTAGCGCAAAAAAAAAAAAAGAACCATACTAAAATAAAGATCACTTTAAGAATCTTCTAATTCACAGGGTGCCGGGTGGAGGAGGAAGAAGAGTGTAGAAATAACATGTTGATAACCAGATATGGATAATTGCAGAGATGATGAGGCTAATGATAGAATTCAGAAACTCAATCAAGAAAAGCAAGGACAGCCTCCTTCATAGAATCTCTCTGAATGCATTCACATGCACTGGTATAAACAGTGATCAAAAATATTCTAACGGCTTGAAAATGGCACAGAATTTGGGTAACAGAGTTTTAATAAGCCTCAGATTCTGTAAAATAAAAGATAAATCAAAGAGTAGGGAGAAGACTAGTTTTGAGGTGGACCTTAGGTAAATTAACCAGTTATTCATGAACATTGCCTTGATGCTTAGCCCAATATGGACTCTTCAGAGACAGCATCGTCCCGTAGAACTTTCTGGAAAGGCGGTTTTATACCTGTGCTCCCCAGCGTGGTAGCCATCAGCTACATGCAGCTACTGAGCACGTAAAGTACGGCTACTGTGACTGAGGAACTGAATTTTAAATTTTGTTTAATTTTAATTAATTTAAATGTAAATAGCAACATTGGCTAGTGGCTACTACATTGGACAACACAATACACACACACAATACATTTTTAAGAATAAATGTATTCAAAGCATGCATAGACTTTTTCCTAACATAATCCACACCATCTATGAGAAAAATAATTGGGCTAAGCATAACCCAAACTCCAACACAATAATGAAAGTATTAATGTAAATTAAAATTTGGAAAACCAAGTAAAGCATTTATAAAAGTGACTTAATATTATTATGTTAAAAATACCACTACAAATTTGCACATAATAAAGCATGTTTAATCCACTTATTATTCCTATTAAATGATTAGAAAGTCTATTTGCAGTTTGGCCTATTCATCTAATAATAAATGACTGAAAATCAATGCATTTAAGACTTTTGCAACAGATTTAATTAATTTGCCCATTTGAATGAATAAATATCTTAACATTTATAATACTTTATTTAATAATTACAAGTAAATGATATATTTATGGCCTTACATGTAGCCTTCCACCATCCTGTAATTTTCTTTCCAAATGTTCTTTATGTCTTTCATCTTTCTTTTTGTCCTTTTCATCCTATTCTTTCATTTTTGCATATTTTGCTCCAACAAAAGGATTTAAATCTCAGTGCACAAAACAACAGTCACCCTTCCACATGTGAAGATCTTGCCCTGAGATATATAAACTAATAAGAAAACAGCTTGTCTGCAATGGTAGATTCGAAGTTAAGACGTTCATTTTCTTGGCAGTCAGTTCCAGAGAGGCAGTCCTTGGATTGAAATGGACAAATGATGACAACATTGAATTAATCAATTCCAAGCTGAGCACTGATGGGAACCTGGGTCAGGAGCCTCTCATTCCTCTACACCTCCTGCCTGAAGTTAATCACATGCCAGTGCTAGGCTGGAAGGTTATGATCCACTACCTTTGATAATTTTGGTCAAGTGTCTCCCCCGATTTATACTGCAAACGTGTGACCCAGGCAATTACTGATCTGCTTTCTGTCAGGAGAGATGGATTTTCGTTTTCTAGAAGTTTACATAAATGG